AATAAAGCACCTATTTTTTTTTCTTTTCATTCTGACTCTGAATCAAAGTTTTATTTGTTAATGGTGCTGCAGTTGCCATCCCCATTCCATCTGATGGAGCTCTGCGGGATATCTGGTCTCTGATCAAGCTCTGGAGGTAGAAATTACATTAAATGTTATTAAATACAGGTTGCAGTTCTGTAGGAGTCCGTAGGAGTATCTGGAGAGCGGGGGTATGGAATGAGCAACTTACATGGATTATGCATGGAAAGCAGTGCAGACCTCAGAGCTTGAGCGTCTGAACGAGGATGTGCCAAATTACAGCCTTATGTTATGATGGATTCTCATATTCCCTGTTTGGCTTGGCCTGTGGAGTGTATTGCTGTAATGGTATGTGGTATTGAGGCTGTGTTAAGCCTTTATTATTAAACTCTTATAACTCCTATGGGACTGATGGTTTGTGGTTTCTCAGGACCACTTCCAAAGCAGCACACAATCATGTTATTTTTTTTTTCCTGGGGAAGTTACTTTATTGCTGAAATCTGGTTTTGCTTGCCTTTTTTTTTTTTTTTTTTTTTAAGGAAAAAAAAAAAGGATGAAAGAAGTTATTGGTTCAGCTTCTTTGGTTTCCAATAGGATAAGACAAATATCTACAAATCCTTGCAGGGGGAATCTGTAAAAAGCAATAAAAAGTTAGTGGCTTCTCAGAGGGACTTACTATAAAAGTCTTAACTGAAATTCTGAAACAGCACTTAGGTAAACATACAGTTTATATACAGTTCTTGTTTAAATGTGGATTATATTTGCTGTTCTCATTCTGTGTTGCCACTGTTTGTTTTCAGTTTGTATACTGCATTTTCATCAACGATGAAATCAAAATAAGGACAGTATTTGTATTGGAAGTGGGTCTGTGTATTTGCTTTTACATGATTTTAGGAACTTAACACAATTGAATTTAAGAGCTGTTTCCACATGTGTCTCTGGTGCAGTACCCCTATGTAAAATGTTTATCCTGTGCTGTGCATCTTTCCCTTCCTGGAGTACGAAACAGTTTACTGGTCAGGATCATCACTCATTTATGAAGACCCAAATCTTAATTTATTTTTCTGTTTGGAAACTAGAGTAGTGGAAAAGATATGGCAATCAGTAAGGAGTAGCAGTTAAAGAACTGTTTTGTGTCCAGAAATGCCTAGAGCTCAGGTGCACAATATATGCAGCAAGATGAGTAATTTAATTTGCCTGTCTTGGGGATGGGGGAGTGTGGTGCAGAGTTAACTGGGCCCTGAGAAAGCTCATGGTTAACAAAACAAACAGGAGGAAGGACCTAAAATGGGGGACACTGGAGTGAAAAGTGGGGCGTGTGTGTCAGGAGATAAGGGGTCAGCAACACTTGAAGTGCATCCCTTGCCTTGAAATACAATCAGTTCACATACCTAGATGACTTAGCTGGGCTGTGGTGTAAGTGCAGAAGGAAATGTAGTCACCTCAGATTTGCAGGTTGGGGTTTTTTTTTGACTTCAGGACAGAAATCTGAAAATCTGGTTGTGTTCCTTCAAAGGCACATTCAGCTCTGTGTCCAGCATGGAGCATTGTTGGAACTGAGTTTAAATTTGTTCCCAGAGCAGCATTGGGTCTCTGCACAGTCTGTGTTGGAGCTCCTGGTTCCCGGATGAAATGGGACCCTTGTGTCTGTTCCAGAGCAGTCAAGCTGCTCTGTAAGCAGGGACTTGGGCAACACTCCTCCACACTCCAAGGGGGCTGTGATGTAGTGCATTTGGGTCGCCCTGCACAGCACTGGTTTTTGGGGGATGATGGAGCGGATTCATGTGTTGACCTGATTTGTGATGCTCTGTCTGGATGGTGGGAGGTGAGGAGAAGTGACCCAGAGCATAGGTCCCAATGCAACTTTAACCCGAAGTTGACACAAAGTGACCCAAAGCAACTTTACAGTCTGGCTCGTGAGGTCTCAGCCATCATTATTCCTGGCACTGAGAGCCTTCTAAATAAGTGAGTGTTTATGCTGTCTTCACTTCTGATGGATTGAATAAGATCCAGATTTACATTTGTATTGTGCTGTATCTTGGGGTTTCCTTATTTTCTTTTTAGAACTGCTGTAGTCACTGGAATAAAGATTGTAGTTAACATAAAAACAAGGTGTAAAAGGCTGGCACTGTGGTGTGTGCAGCCTGAAGCTGTACATATTGGCAAGTCACTGTGTGCCATATTCCATGATTTGGCATAAAGGCTGCCCTTCAGTTAGAGCAGGATAAAAAACATCTAGGCTGCTTTGTGGAAGTAGGTAGCTGAGAGATTGGGGACAGCTCCTTCAGACATGAACACCTCTTGGCACCTAAACCAAGGGCCTGTGTAAGTGGGTATGTTTTACGTTGTGCCTCAATAAGTTTTGAAAGATAAAGCCTTTGAGGATTGCCTTTGAAAGGTAGAGCAGACTCAGGGGCTTGGGGAAAGGCACTGGGCACAGACTGAGCAGCCACTTTGTCTCAGCAAAAAGAAGTCTAGAAAGTCTGGAGGATTTTGAACTGATGACTGGAAGAGATTTGAAGCTAGAAGCAAAGAAACATTTCTTCTTATGTTTGTGAAAGCAGGACTTGGTGTATTTGCAATAAATCTGGCTTGCCTCAAAGAAGAGCTTATTTCCATCAAATTCTGACAGAAATAACCTGTTGTTCTGAATTTGGCTGAATGTGAATAGCTGTCTGGGTAGAAGAAAGGTGACACATGATTATCTTCTCAGCTTTTTTCAAGTTTATAGTATCTTCCCTTTTGAAGTGCTAGTGCCAGAAATAAACACAGTGTTTTAATAAAGATCTATGGTTTGTGCAATTACTTGTGCAGGTCGAGGGGGAGTTGACTCTAATAGAGGTTATTCACAGTGAATTTGATGTGGAAACTGTGAAACTAGTAGTTGCATGGAGGACTGGCTTGGAAAAGGGAGCTTACTTTGCTTGTAAATTAATTTTTTTATATGAGGAAGATAACATTCTTAGTTAAAGGAATGAAATATTATACTATTTTTGTGGGCTGCAATAATGGTATTAATTTGGTTCTTGCAGTGCTTTTCAGCCATTCTTAGATAAGTCCTAATATTTCATGTGCAGTGTTTGAATGCAAAAGATACTGTAGGAAAATTAACATTTAAATTTGGCATTAACTACAAAGCAATACTTCATGATGATAAAAATCTCAACAGTTTTTTAAAAGTAGAACCCCACAGAGATACTTTAGAATTGATGGCAGATGAAGTTAATGCAGTTAAAATGAATTAAACTCCTTGCTATTTAGAATAATATAATGATGTCTGAATTTTATTCCCAAAAGAGGAAATACAGTTGTTAAGTCCAGATGGATTTTTGTTTTTACTGGAGTAAGTTTTGAGACTAGTGATATCTTCTTTTTTTAATGTTACTACCATACCGTTGGAATTGAGACAGCATAGACCTTCTTTTTTTAAATCGTTTTAAACCCAGTTAAGTTAACAGTCTTACTGTGTTTATTTTGAAAATTAGCACTTTCATATTGAATTTTTAAGAGTTGGAAAATAAGCACGAGGATGATGTACAGTGTAGAGAAGCTCGGTCCTGTGTCAGGGTATTGTCAGCTGTTACACAGTAGCTGTCACTGTGACTGTCGCCTGCCCAAATTTGGGGGGATGCAGCAGGAGCTTAAACTCTTTGCAGCAGGCTAAGTCTGCTTGGGCTTTTTGCCTTGCACTTGAGGGCTTGCACCTTGGCAGCATTTGTGGTGCTGCAAATGATGTGTGATCAGCTGAGCACATCTGAAACCTAAGTTAGAAAGAGAAACCTTCAAGGATTCAATCTGTTGATTTAGCCGAAGCTGAAAGGCAGTTCTGCTGTTGCTGTGTCAGTATAAAGCTTCTCTTTCCATAAAATTATCGATCCTGTCGTGGTGATCTGTTCTTTTTTGTGTTTTACTCATTCACAAGTTGTCTCTTAAGTTCTGGACCCAATTCTGCTCCACTGGTAGTGGAGTAGAATTTGGTAGGCTTGCTCCTTCGGTTAGGATTGGCATGAAAATAGATGGCAAACCATGAGGCTTACTACCAAAGTAAGTGTTAGCTTGTCTCAAGTAAGCATAAAGCTGAGGAAAAACCCACTGTTCAGCATAATACCATATTGCAGCTCCACTTGGAACAGAACATCAAATTATTACCAATAATTTTGCAAAGAGATTCCAGGCTGGAAGGGTGGTATACGAGGAAAATGAGTGATCATGAGGTGAGCTAAGTGCAAGCAGGCAGTAAGGTATTCTGTGTGGCCAAATGTTGTCGCATATATAAAAACTAGGAACTTTAAACCACAATTGACAAAAAGGGTGCCCCATCATATAAAACAGTGACAAAAAGTATTGGATGTTAGCTGGTGAGCAAGAGTTGTCATTGCAGTCATGGATAAAGAACTGCTGTGATCCCCAGATGGGGATAAAAGGGTATCGAGTAGAGAGGTTATATTTTCTTGATGCTTGGCACATGTGCTGCATAAAGGAAAAAGGTGAAGGTTACTGATGAATTGAAATGCATTGAGTTGGGGAACCACTAGTGTGAGTAAAGATGTGGGAATCATGGTGAAAAGTGCAAAGGGCTTGTCTTAGCAAACAGTGTCAGGGAAGAATTGATCATAACAGGCAAGACCCCTAAATAGGACAAAATATTGGTAATACATTTGATAAGAAAAAACTCTCTAGTCCATCAGTCAAAACATGTTATGATTCAGTTTTGGTAAGGTCAACCAAGCTTATTAGTCATAAAATGAAATTATTTTCAATGAATTCTAGCTACTCCACTGGGTAATGACACTGCATACTCCGCTGTTCTGCCTTTGCTAGATTCCTCTTGTTTTGTCTGGTTGCTGAAGAAGTTGTTCTGCTTCCTGGCAGAAGGGAGCACGAGGCATTACTTAAGCAAAATAACAAAAAAAAAATGTTACGGCAGGAAATGGTGCCGAAAAAAAAGGGGAAAATGAACTTGTACTCTTGTGTTACAGATTCAGTGGTTCTTTCCTTTGACTCCGTTGGACATACAATAGGCTCAGGTACAACGTTGTGTTCTTCTCTATCTCCCACCTCATGACAAGGCTTCTACTTAACTGGACATGGTAGCCATGTTGGGAGGCAGGCCACTGAGTCAGAGTTTTGTGGGAATCAACCATCTAGCCAAAGTGGGTAAATAGGTCCTTTCCTCAGTGCAGTGGAAGTATTCAGTTGTAGTGTGACACGAGGATTAACGTGCAGGACTCCGTCCGTTCCCCAGCCAGGCAGGTGACCTGCATCGTTGGTGATGCAGTTTGTGCTTCTCTTCTCATGTCTAAGGCATTAAGATGATGTCACCCACCAGCTGAAGAAAAACTGTCCCATGCTACAAGGAGAGTTTCTTCTCAGCTAAACAAACATTCGAGTTATCTGGGGAAAGACATCAGGAATGCTTCCAGGAACGAGAAGGTGAAAGAGTCGTAACTAAAAAAAAAAAAAAATAGGGCAAGAAACTTCTTTTTTTTTTTGGGTGGAGATTGACCAGCGTTTTGAAACCCCAGGGCAAATCCTTCCCAGTCTAATTTCCTTTGGAACCTGAGCCTGACCTTCAGTTAAAGTGAACCAGAAATCAGAAATTCTTTTGTGTTGGGGCCACTTCATTAAATCAGTAACTGTCCATTGGACTGTGTGTAATGCACAAGCTGCAACCAAGGCACAGCACAGTGAGCATGATACTTAATGAAATTCAGTTTACAGCGTATGTATAATGATATATGAAGGGCAAGGGAAAGCCTAAGAATTGTTCTTTTAATGTAAAAACCCCTAAACACTTAAAAGATGGGGGTATTTACCATCTTGCAGAAAAGATAAAACCTTCCCTTGGATTATTTTTTATTTTATCTTGCTTGCCAGCCTTTCCTCCTAGATTGATAGGGGAAACATGCTGCCTTCCAACATAGCACCTGTCTTCTGCCTGCACAGTTTGAAAGAGAGCCTGCTGCCTGACACTAACAGCAAAGCTTGAACACATTTCTGATTTACTAACCCCAGAGCCTAGTGGAAGTAACTTTGTTTTAAAACACCCCAAATGTTTTCTACTCTCCCCGTATCTTCTCTAAAACCTATATCTGGAAATAGATCTATTCTGGATGCATGGTCTGATGTGGGAGTATCTCTAGAGTGCCAAGTGGATATGTTGTTGTGTTTATGGCAGGAAGACACCCTCTGTTAATTCTCTTTTACTAATTAATACGTTATAACTGAAGCGTGTTGTTGCCTGCCTCCTTCTGTATTGGGTGATGGTTTCTTTAGTCTGAAAAAGTAGGGAGGAAGTTGCATAGGTGTGAGGTACAAAATCTGTGAGTAAAATTCAGGGAAGGATATCTATGGAGTTAACCATAAATGCTGTGTTATGATACTACCAATAGGAAAGTAAATTTAGTTATGAAAAATAGTTCAACTGCTCTGTTTCTTTTGGATTTCTGTTAATATGGAGGGTGGGAGATAAGCCATTGGACTATCTTGGTGTGTTTTAAAAGCACTGATCTTTGTTCTGCTTGCATTTTGCAACTCAAGCTTGGATTGGTTAGGATTTAAGACAGTAAGACATGATCTTTTGCAAACCCTTTGCAACAAGACTGAATTTAGTCATTGAAGGAATATGAAGAAAACTCATATATTTGAGAAGGGAGGCTCAGAAATTTCCAGGAGAGCTGTATGTTTATTGCTTTCATGTTTAGTACTTTGCATTCTCTGTGCTGCAAACTTCACTTTGCTCTGAACTGATATGTGTTAATAAGATGTCAAGATGTGTGATGTCTGTCCAACTGAGGGATAGCTTTCCTTGTTGAACAGGAAGGAGAGAGAGAAAAACTGTGGCTATTGTGCTTCCGCTGTCCAGCCCATCTCACCTTGCTGCAGACCCAGGAAAAGACAGAGCCCAGAAAGAACCCACAGAAACAATGGCAGCTCCAGGCCCAGCCATTCCCAGTAGGTGATGTTTCAGGTTGGGGTAAGAAGGGACTAAGATTGCATACTTTGAAACATAAAACTACATATACCTTTTTCTTTATTAGTCAAAATTAAACAGCTGAGAATAATAGTCTCCCTGTTAAGACTTCATGCTGCTTAAAACTGGTACTCATTGACTTATATTTGCATATTAAACAGCTTCTTAGAATTGCTCTTTGGTACTTGCTAATCATGCCATGTGAAGGGCAATGTTTTGTTGCAGCTTCTGTATCTTATTTGAATTGACTGTTTGTCCTTGTCTTGGCTTTCCCCTTAACTTTGTCCCACATACAAATCTCAGTTTTCAGGCATGCTGAAAATCTGTCCTTATGCAACTCAGATTAATGACACTCTCTGGGTTGTTCTGCATAAACTTTCTGAACCGAGTGCTCAGAAATTCATTTGGCTGTGGAGTCTTAATGTCCTGCTTCATAGGAGATGATTAGAGTAGAGGATGTGCGAGCCAAATGTGCTTGGAGTGAGGCTGAACCGTGAGGTTCATGCCGTGGTCCAGCCTTCACAAGTCCAGATGTTTTTGTGATTCTCTTCACGGCTGTCCATTCCCTTGAAAGATAAAGTTTGAGCAGCAGAGATAAGTGTTTCTTGTGATGTCTAGGCCAATGTTTCAGCTGATACCAGAAAGGAGGGTGTCGTGCTCTGAACTTGGGAAAACATTAATCAGGACACACGGTGTTTGAGGAGACCTAGATTTCATTCACTTGCCATAGACAGCTAGTGCTACTTTTATTTTTTCTTCCCTCTCTCGTTGCTTTGTTTTATTTTGTTGCTACCAAATCAAACTTTGGACCTTGAAAGTCAGATTTATATCCCTGCTATTTTTGTTCAAGACTTTTTTCCTACCTCCTGTGTTTGAGAGCAAGTTAAATTTTTCTTCTCTAAGCCTCATAGGGTAGGAGTGCATTGAATGTGCAACTTTCCCATATGCTACTGTGCTTTCTGGAAATACTGAGGTTCTGAATACCTTACAGCTGTAGGCTTATGCTGTTGTTAGACATGTTTGATTGCAGTACTGACCACTGGTTCAAAGCAGATGTTCTCACTACAGGCTTAAAAGATGCTAGTTCTAACATCACAAGCTGCCAAGTGTGATCTAGGTCTTGTTCAAATTGTTCAAATATATTAACTTTTCTGTTGTTATTGCTTTTTTTCTATTCAATTTAATTATTAACCCTTATCGAAAGTTTGATTCGATTTATGCAAAGAAGACAGATCTTTACACTTTGGTTTAGAGTAGCATATCTGCTGCAGCTCATGTGCTTGTGAAAGCCCACGTTTCCAGATGCTGAGTTCACAATGATGGTGGAGTAATCATCTGAGAATTTAAATCTGTGCTTATTTAGGAGTTTGCTGCTAGTGATTGCTTATGTCAAAGTCCTTAACTATTTTAGGAGAAGCTGTGAGAACTATGAAGGAAACTCTCTCTGTTTTGTTCAGCTGCTGAAGATGCTCAGATAACCATTTTGTGAAGGATGAGAATAACCCTGTGTCTGTCCTCCCGAGTACAGCTCCAGAGTGAATTTGGTGACTGCTTGCCTACATTTTGGATGGAGAGTGGTATGGATGGAGGCCAGGAATAGAAATACAGCTGAAACCACGAGGTATCAAATTGGTAGAATAGTAATAGATTACTAGTATAAGAGAAAAAACGTTGGTGACTTGCAGAAGATTCCTCACTGTTCATTTGCTTTCTCAGTGTGACTCTGATAGTACAGATGGCTACAATTTCAAACTCTGATATTTCCCAGATTTCCAGGTTAGTGGAAATTAATTTAGATGTTATGTTAATTAGTAGGAGTTGTGAGGTCAGTGTTCTTGGTTTGAGAAAAGCAACTTAAATTTGAGTTTGGAGCTGATGTGGCTCTAATGTGTTGGGGTTTTTTTCCCCCTAAATTGCGTTTCTAACTGTCTTTATTACAGTAATTACATGTGGTAATGATGGGAAAGGAGAGATGAACTTACTCTGCTGCATTTTTCTGCATTCCTGTAAAGCAGAAAATAAATGGGAAATATTACATATTTTCTCTGCTGGTTTTAGTGGCTCTATTCTGCAAAAATCCTTTTCCCCTTTCATTTTTGATTAATGAAGTTCTGCTTCATTCTTTATTTCTTTGAGCTGTAGACTGTGGGAGCTGCTTGAATCTTTGCCAGTGACTGTCATGAAGCAGTTGCACAGTCCTTATGTGGCTTTGCCAGCATGTTCAGTATCATCTGTCTTCTTATTAGTGCTGTGTTCCACCAATTGAAAATACAGCTGTGAATGAGCTGAGGTGCAAATGCCAAGAAGCAGCTTTAAGAATACGTCAAATTAAAAGTATTTCAATGCGATTTTTCTCTCTCATGTGGCATCTTCTCTGCATCAAGTCAGTACAACCTGTAAGTCACTAAAAGCCAGTATGGATTATTGCTTTGTTAATATTGTTCCTGACTTTTATTAGGTAATACGATACAATTTATGGAATAAAGAATATGTTGGAAGACTCAGTAGGGCAGCATTAACTCCATGGGCCAAGTGGATTCATGGTAGTAAATGAAACTAATGCTTAGCAAAGGTTGCAGTCTGGCTTGAAACAGATGACTCTCTGGGAAAAGCAAAAGGGCATATGCAGTTCATAGGAGGAAATGTTTCATCTTCCTGTTGGAACCTTTCCGAAATTCAGCTTAAAGCAGTCAGTTGCTTTGCTACCTTTGGAGGTTGCTACAGTCTTATTAGGAAAACCAGTTGTAAGGAGATATGTACTCCATGTTAAGGTAACCAGAGCCTTTTAAAATGTAATATCCCAGAATGACCTCTTCTTTGGTTTACTGTACCTATGTTGGAGGCAAGACAAGCAGGCAGAAGACCTTCCTGATGGATGACCCATCCAGCACTACCAGCAAGTGACTGCTTACTTGTTCTTTCTGTGCCTGGGGGATGAACAGTGTAGTTGCAGTGTCTAATGGAGGAGACCCCTCTGGTGTGTTGCTTTCCTCAGGCTGTAAAGGCTGGGTCAGGTGACTTTGGAGGCCCCAATCAGGAATTACAGGGGGAAAAAACCAAACCAAACCACCCTGAAGGTGTAGAGGTAGAAATTCCTTTTGCTGCTAAATCAGAAACATTTAGGTGTCACCGAGGCACACAGGGCTTTGTGACTGAAGACACATTTCTTCCCATCCCGCTTTGAACTCACAGGTTTGTGTTTCAGTTGTGCTGATAGTGCTTGGTATATCGATTTCCACTAAATATGGCTGTTTTCAGCAGGTGCAGTACTTGGAAAATGAATATTGAGCTTGGTGCAGCAGGATTGACGTCTTTAGACAGTTTGCAGAGTCTGTGGATATAGAGAATAGACGTGAAGTTTCAAGTTTTGCTGAAAGAGTAGTTTAGCAAACCCTTTTGCTCCCCAGGAAAGAAAAAAAAAAAAAAGGAAGCCTAAGTGAAGCTACATTAAAGTTTTTGAAGAATTAATTTTTTTTCACACATGGTGGAATTGTCAAATGTGGAGATGGTTCTACACAGACATAGATTGGTGAGGTACACTTCTGTTGCTGGGCAGCAAGGGCCAAGCACTGAGCTTCACAGGTATCAGTTCTGCTGCTTTTGTGTATTTTTATGGAGCAGGGAAAGGCACGAAGGACTGGGCTTTGTCTTGCCCGTTTTCTTGGTGTTCTCCTTGATGTCACTTGGACAAACCCGGGGAAAAAGGTTGTGAAGTGTGTATGCAAAAGAGTAAATGGGGGTGAGAAGGAAACTGGAACACAGACATGCATACGGTCTGTGCAGGACTGTGTTGAGGAGCCCAGGTGGCCTCAGCTTTGCTACTTATGAACTTGGCTTTGCACTCTTTTTTTTATTCCCCAGTTATTTAAGTAGCCTCAGAAGATAATGCTTCCATCAGTAAATTCCATCACTTGACGGGGTTAAAGTGAAAATCCTTAGGAAAGGATGCAACATTAAGTCTTTGTTTATCCAGTACTGTGATTGTTCCTCAGTAATCCTGAGTGGTATTTTTTTAACCCTGGAATAAAAGGTTTCTTTTGTCCTTTTCAGTTGATCCATTTAACATGAACTTTTTTTCATTAATTCTTTCTTGTCTCTTGAGTTCTGGCAGAATTGCTTTACATCAGCTGAACTTTTGTAACTGTCCATATGTGTTTTCTCAGACCAAGGTGAATGTGATGCATTTGACCTTTTTTCATTGCAGAGTAAATAATTTTACCTGTGACCTTTGCCACAGATGTGGACAGTGGCCAAGGCTCAGTCCAGTTGGAGCCTCAGTTCTGCAGAGACCAAACTGCACTGGACAGGATGAAGTGTATCAGGGTGGTCTGAGCTTTTCTTGGTAGGACTTCTGTTTCTTGAAAATCATACTGATTTCTTTGACAAACACAAACATTTTGAATAAAATTGCTAAAATCGGACCTTTCTGCCTTCCCTCCTGTACTTGCAGTTACCAGTTAAACACAGAACTAGAACTGCATATAGCCTGTCTTTATAAAAAATAATTAGTTTTCTGTTTCTGTGGACAAAGTTATTTGTGCTGTTCTATGTAGCTGTCTGCTAAAAGGAATAGTTTCAAGTCATCAGTGAAATTGGTTATATGTAGTCTGAAAGGATAAAACCAGTGAGCCACGTTAATTCCTGCATTGTTGATTTCAGATTAGTAGCATAAGGGGAAAATTTTGTCCATTTTTCTTCTGTGTAGCTATATTGGCTACAGATGCAAAAGGCAATTTGAAAACTTGATAGATACTGTACACGGTGCTTTATGGCTTCCTGGGTGGTCTGCATGGAGTTTACAGACATTAGGCAATGCATTTCTCACTTGTGGCCTGGTAGTTGGATTTTTGTTGGATACTTGGGAGAAATTCCCATGCTAATGCCAGCATTGAATTGGGCACAGGATTTGCATCATTTTTAGAAATTGCTATGCTTGGCTGTTCTTCTGTTCATATAATCACAATTACATGCTTCATTATGAAGTTGTTTTCAGTTGTCAGATTCTTATTCAATTCTGACCTTCCCGGAAACGTAGAAATGCATTTTGTTGCTGACCTTAGATGACCTCTTGTTCTTATGGGGCACGATGAAGCTTCATTTCCCGTGTTCACTCATTTCTGTCCTTCTGTACACTGCTGGACCACACTGTCAGCTGAGATCTGTAGCTTCCTAGCCCAGGTGAGTGTGGTCCTTAGATTGCATTGTGCTCTTTTAATAATGTTGCTTTTATTTCTCATGAGCCTTTCAGCCTTTTGTGGGCTGATAACATAAAGCCTCTATCAGATTCTTCCATGGTGCTCTTCCAGTAGATGTGAACTAAGTCCTTTATTGCCTTTACTCATTTTTTGCATTAAAAATAAATCCTTTGCCACACAGCCACATATAGGTGTCTTGTCTGGAAATCGATGGGTCAGACGTGGCCTTGGCTGGATCAGACCTACCAGCATGGTTAGATCTGAAGGGAGTTCTCCAGAACTGTAACTCTTGGTGGCTCTACATTGTCCTTCAGTGCAGAGACCCCCTCATGGTGGGAGCATGAGGGAGTGTCATGATGATGATGGTGGAGGCCAACATCAAACCACAGTTAACACAGTCAGCTGGCCCAAGCTAGTTTTTGGTGGAGATGCTGGAGTATTTTTACCTTGTTCTCTCTAACTGTTTTGTCTAATATTCTGGCTCTTCTTTGTCCCACTCTGTGAAAAAGAGGGGAAATGTTTTTGTGTATCAAGCGATTAACTTGGTGAGTAAAGGCTTTAAACTAAGGTACTGGGAGGAGAAAGCAACCTATAAGAACAGAGAGGTGACGTGAGTGCCAAGGCAGGCTCTCGCCACCTCTGTTTTCAAGGGAGGAAAGGGTAGGAGTGGGACTGCCCCTTCCTCAAGCTGTGAGTTATGTGCTCGGTCCCTCTCCTGTCACCATCACACCCTGACCAAACTGTGTTTTAGATTCAGCTGTACTTCAGTTTAGTGGGTCTGTGTTTCATCTTGTTTTAATTTAAATGCATAACTCCAGACAAGTATTGCCTTTGCCTGCAGCTGGGCTATATGTGTTTGGCTTTCTCCAGATATTTGGGGCTTTATCTGTCTTTTGTGAATCCAGACCGCTTACAGCCAGAATGAGAGCTGACTTTTGGCCCCTGTATTCGTAGAGATACAGCTAAATGACATTAGAAGTCTGTAACGAGACTGATTTTTGCTGAAAAGGAAGGTAACTTTGGCTCTGTAATTTTAGAGGGTCCTAGTGTCTTTCCTGGGGGGGCAACATGTGATAGAGAATCATTTCCAAGGTAATAGTAATGCTGATTTCCAAAAGTGTCAGTGAGTGTGAGATGGCCCGTGGTGAGGGCAGCATTTCTCTGCCTGCAGTAGCTTGCACATCTCACCAGCCAGTGAGAGGAAGGAGCTTAGTTGCTTCTGATTTAATGTTACAGCTTGAAAGGATAATTTACACCCTCCTGAAAAGCAGGAACACACCTGTGCTTCTGGCTTGAAACTGGAAGTGTTATTTTGTTTTGTTGTAGTTCATACATCTCTTGGAAAGTACCCATTGCAAGGTAGTTGACATATAATTTTATAAGATTACTTTATCCCTCTGTCAGTAACAATCAGAGAACATCAAAACTTTAAACCTAGGGAAGGTAAAACTCACGTGAGAAACAAAAGGTAAATCTTGTGAAACACTGCAATGGACTCTGTCATCTGTGGTGCTTAAACTTCAACATGGATGTGTGTTCTGGTGCTTCGGTTGCAAAGCTCATGAAGTGCTGAGTTAGTAGAAAGCCCAGGATGTTGTTGTAGTTATGAGGTGATAGAATCTCTTATTTCATTTCCTCTTTTTGTATTTCCTGTTGGGAAGAAGGGAATGTTGGCTTGAATGAGATAAGACTGATGACAGGTGGGTCAGTGGCTGTAGATGTTTTTAAAAAAATAATGATACAAAAAAAAAATCAAAATCTCTTTTGCTGTTGGCTCACTATGGATGTTGTTTTTGGGAGTCAGGAGGGTTAATAAAAATTGAAGGCATATTTCTTTTTCTGGAATGGATACCTTCCTATGCACAATCCTACATGTGGAGGAGGTAAGGTTGGACAAGACGTAATTTCTTGTGGGAGGAATGAGGTGGGAGGAAGTTATGACAAAAGCAGCACATGAGGGAAACAAGACTGTCAGCACGTGGAAGGTGGAGGAGAGAGGCACAGGTGCATTTCTAACGTCAAGTACAGCAGGGATGGTGGGTGGCACACGGGTGCTGGCAGAGAACAGACAGTATGTGCCAATATCGAGTGCACACGTGTTCTGCAGCTTCTGTTACCTGAGTTATGTCAAATATAACACTTCCCTCAGGAATTAAATCTTAATGGGATTGAAACCAATGGCACAGTTTACATTGACGTATCTGGTGAAATGGTTTTGTCTCAGGTACTTTGGTTTAGGCTTTCCTGCTCTGCCGGTAAGTGATGATGTGAAAAGCTTGTGACCTTCTGCGGTAAAACTACTGCAGCAGAAATTCTGGGGGGATCTCGTGAGGAAAGCAATCTTCTGTGTTTCCAGTGAGCTCTAAAAGCTTAATAGAATTTTTTTTCATGTTGTTTCTTTTAATACACCCCGATTGGATTATCTTTTGCTTCTCTGTTTGTATTATTTTTTTATTGTATGTAGTGAGACCCAGCAGTTCCCAGTGTGAGAAGGCCACTGAGCTTAACCCAGTGAAAGGACACTACACCTTTTACTTTTTCTTGTATATCTCACATGAAGTCCAGTGTCTCTGTTTTTTGTATCAAGTGTTTGATTTACAAGATCACAGTATATTCAAAGATGCTGAATGCTAAGCTTCCATTATACAGTTAAGGATGTTATGAGTGATAACTTTGTTTCTGTAGCTGTCCCCTGTTTGTAGCATAAACTCATTTTGCGGTTTCCTATTGAACAACATCTGAACTTGAAGCATTTTTGCCACCATGAGTCACTTACTTTTGAAGAAGGGCTGCTTGATTACAAAGTTGTGTGTTGGAATAGACAAGGAATGAAGAAAAATTTGAAAGCTCTACCATGTCAGAACTTAGGAGGAATGTTTGTCATACAAATGAGTGGCAAAATTATTTGTACAGCAAACAGAAGAGCTTTTTTTATCACTACATGAGTGGTTTCAGTAATGCTTTGTTTTTATGACTACACATAGCTTGATTAATTCTGGTGATTTCTAAATTAATGATTACCAATATGTTCTCTTGCTTAGTATTTCGTGGAGATTCAGAAATGTTAATTTGGGAATACCTTGAAGTAACAATAATCTGTATTAACAGCTGCTAGTGACTAGAAATTACGATATAGCTATTTTCAGTTAGAAATAATTATTATCCTTCCATGAGGACTTGCAACTTTTTGGTTTTGATGCTTTTTGCAGAGGAGACACTTGCAGGTTTTTTGATAATGTGTCCCTTCCTTTTGTTTTACAGAATATGACAAACTGGGCTTTCTCCTGAATCTGGACTCCAAATTGTAAGTAGAACAGTAGGACTCTTCTTCATTTCTGTAGTTACAGCTTTCTGTTGTAAGCAACTTTTATGTCACCTGGGCAGCTGGCTCAGTGGACTCTCCACTTCTACCTGGGACAGCCAGGTCCTGCAGCAACCTGGCAATTATGACTCCTTTCCTTGCACTGGGCTCTGCAGGCCAGCTTGGGTTGTGGAGCACTGTCATTAATGCCTTAATAAGTGATCAAGAAGCTATAAATACCCACCTGAAGCCATGACTGTCAGTCTGCTATAGATATCCTACTGTTAATCTTCCAAATGAAAAATGTATTGAACGCTGGAAAGCAGAAGGAACGCGAATCTGCAATTCGCTGGGATGCTTAGAAGTTTATATTTCCTTTCCTCCTGTTTCTTTAAAGATGGATACTACTATTTTTGCTTGTAAACTAGAGTGGAAAGAACCTCAACACAAGGCAGGGACCACTCGCTGTGTCGGAAGAACAACACGGTGCTGAAGGGTGATGATGCTCCTCGTGCTTTTTGCCAGCACTCAAAATCGAGACTGACCTCGTTAACACTAGGGGTCAGTAGCGACCCTGTTTCTGAGGTCGGCAGCCTTGCGGTAATTTTGGCGTTGGGAGCAAAAAGACTCCTAAAAACCTACCGCTCGAAAAGGCACAGAAGCAGTTCTGTTGGCTTTGAATGGCTGGAGAACGCGTGCCCTGCGCGATGTGTCATGTCATTATAAACCCCATTCTTAAAGTTTTGAAAATTTCGTGGTACTTGTAGGGTGTAACATTTTGAGTTTAGTCTTGCTGAACGGCTTGGGAGCTTCCATAATGGAATAAAAGCCTCATAAGTGTGTCGGGAACTGGTGTTTGCAGAAGATGAGAAAGTCTCTAGGTAGGAGCTTCTTTTACAGAGGCAGCTGGATACATAAGCTCAGTTATAGGGACATATGGCAAAAAGGTAGCAGAACATGTATGAGAAGGAAGGAATATTGATTATTTATTTATTTATTTTCCCCCTGAAGGCCCTGGATCTCATTCAGTGGGCAGGAAGGATGGCGTTGACTGCACGAATAGTTTCTTTCTACTCTCATTTAGTGCAGTTTTTGTTGGGTGCTGTCTGGAACCCGTACTGGTTACAGAGTTACCAATTTTCTTTATTGAACTTTCTGTGTTGGGCCATCCTTGTGATTTAGAGACACTAGTGTATGTACCTGTACAACACTGTGGGGTGAGATGATACATTATCTCAAATTTATACATGTAGAAGTCAAAGCAAAGAGATTAATCCAAAATTGTGGAATGGGTAAGTAACCTTTGAGTGAATGTCTTGGTGTTGGTAAGGGGAAAATGTTTCATGGGTTTTTAAGTGGTCTGATTGGTTTTTTCCAGGCTGTTTTGTGTATTTTGTAATGTCCAGTTCATTGAACATGCCCATTCACTGTCCACACACTGTTGGTGTATCCACCTGTGCTGTGTCCAAACCACTGCTTCAGTCTCACTCTTCGTACTCCTCCTTCATGCACTGCCCTTTTCTTTGTTGCTTTTACCAAGTCCCACTGAGTCTTCCTTCCCCTGAAGCCTCTGTTACATCCTTTGCTGACTTACCTGTTTGATTACAGCTCTCCAAGACATGGCCTGCTCCTTCTTGTACTTACAGTATGGGGCCAAGTGAAGTTTTTACCTGCTGGAGGGCTTCCAGAGCCCTGATTTATTTTCTTAAAACCTCCCCATGATAAAAACTCTCCAGTATTTTTGATTAAAGAACTGTTTCGTTGACTACTTTAAAAAATATCTTTATATAGCACCCTAAATGTGCATGTTTGCTTTTCAAAGCCCTAGAGTTAGTTTCTAGAAAGACTTGTAAAAAATCAGCATGATTAAAATAAATATTATGAAGTGACTTAAGGAACAAAGAAAGCAAGTATTGTGCGTAGGTGAAATCACTTTTTTTTAACTGCAATAGTCCTTTGTTGGTTTTTGGTTGGCTTTTTGTTTGTTTGTTTGTTTTTCTTTTGGTTGTTGTTTATTTGTTTCTTCCGTGTAATTAAAGCTGTCCCTGCTTTGAGAATAGACCTGATGACCTACAGAGTTCACTTCCAACCTGAATTATTCTATGACTTTTTTTTTTCTTTTTGATACCAAGGAAGGTAGAAAATAGCTGAAAATACCACAAAACATACCAAATCAATTTTGAAAGAAAAATGGGTGACAGTCTGGGGGACTTTTGCTACCATTCCACAAGTTCAGCTTGTGTGGTCAGGGTGCCAAATACGTTTTCTAAGTTCAGACTGAATTCAGTGGAACTTAGTGGTAAAAAAATACTTCTTGTTACTCAGTCAAGATGGTACCATCATAGAAGCACTTTCTGGTTAAAAAAAAGTTGGTTGGAGTTGAAAGGGATAATATGTTCTGCACTGATGACTTTGTTGGTAGAAATAATTTAATTACATCTGTTGTTCTGATATAATTGTTCTGGTGGAATTTTGCCATAGATCATAACTTTATAGGGTTCACTTAATTGACAGCATGTGAGAATCTGTGTGACTTGGAGCACTGAGGGCAACAATTAAGTTTTCTTCTTTTTTTTTTTTTCTTCTTAATCTTTCATTTGCTCAAAAATCTGTTGCTGACTGTGTTAGTTGATGTTGTAACTAATGACCTGGAAGACTAACATTTTCTACAAAGGTAGATCTGCATGAAAACTTAAGTGCTGTGACTTGCATTTTAAAAACGACATACAGAGGAAAGTGTTTGATATAATTAAGTAGTTATGTGTCCTTTTGCCTTTGCAGCTTTGGTTTTTTTCATGCATTGCTGCTTTAGTGTTCTCTTCCCTGAGGATGCCCAGGACATGTTATTCAGATATAGTACAGTCTGCTGTGGTTACAGGAATGTAATGGTTCTGTTCACTGGTTCTCCTTGAGTTCATGGAAATGGTAATGGAACCAGATTTGTTCACTTTGGAAAGAAAATCTGCCAGAAGCACTCGAGAAGTGATTTCTGTGGGAGCTGTGTGTCTGATGGATGCTGTTATGGGCAGGAATCTCACGTGGAAGGTGATTGGCCAGTTTTAAAGATACTGTATGGATGCTTCATGGTTCTGAACAGTCTTGTCGGGAAGGAGAATACTAAGGTGGAATATGCTTCCTTTCTGGTGCCTGTGCTCTTCTTTAGAAAGTCTTTTAGCTTCTAAAGGGCAGGATGATCAGGTGGGGATCGTTAATGACATACGGGATGAACAGAAAGCTGAGGACTTCTGTGGGCAACGCAGTTTATGAATTAGTTGTTCCCTTAGTCAAAACAAGACATAAGGCTCCTTGGGACCAGATCAGTGAAAAAGATCTGTTGCAAGAGGAGTTTATCCTTTAGTTATGCTTGTACCAACCATACCATCATTACCAAAATTAAGAGTGTCAAAACAAAATGTGCACAAAGTATGGGAAAGGCCAGTTGCATCAGTTCCTCCCAGGTAAAGAGGTTTCCCAAGCAGCAGAGCCACATAACCTTTTTTAAACCTATAAGAATAAAATAAAATATTTACTGATTGTGTAGAGAAAAGCATTCATACAAAAAATGTGATACAATTTGCAGGTCTTCGTTCTCAGAGGGGCCAGTAGTTCCTGAACAACTTAAAGCCATCAATCACATTAGTGACTCAGCCAGTGGATTACTAGGTGCCACCAAATGCCAAGATTTGCAGTCACTTTCTAACATCTGTGCTTGGCAACGAGTTGCATGCTTTTGTTATTCTCAAATATTTATATTGTAGTAGTTCTTTGAGGCTGGCCAGGTCTTAGAAACAAGAGTCTCATTCACTACAAATTCTGAATCATTCCCTGAGCAGAATCTATGTTTGCATTGAATTAAATGAGATTTCCTAAGGAGGATCAGCATATGAACGTGTAGTTAATTATAGACTGTATTTAATGCTTATTAAGTGGGCCAAGCTGAAGGTTGCATGGTTGTTCTTTGTTCTGTCACTTAGTACTCTCTGAATACTTGGTTTAGTGACCTTAAGGATTGCTTTGAGTTTGCCTTGGCAGATTACAAATGTAGATTCACTTGTCTTGAGCATATCAGAAGTTCCTTTTTTGTAAAAACCCATGTGATTTGAGGGCTTTTCCCTCGTGTTGTTGCCCTCGTGTTTCTCTGCCAGCTTTCCTTCTTACTCTGCTGGTGTGCCATTTGCTCGGTGAGATGGAAGCTAGTGGCTGCTGCTTCTGTCCTTGTTTCAAACTCATCCTTCAGAAAATACTTTCAAAGGTATTTTAGCAGTTTTAGATTGGCAATTTGGTGCTTCTAAACAACAGCCAGAAGAAAGCTCGGCTTGGGAGCTTGGTAGATCTTTTCACCTGCTGCCACAGTCAGGTCAAAACTTTGGATGTCAAAATCTCAGCTGATGAGTGATGAAAGAATCTTCCCAGGGTTTGACTTTGACTGGCAAAGAACCACTCCTTCATAAAGTTTTACAAATGTTAGAAGATATGCTTTAGCTTCCTGGAATCATTCCACACTTAAACAAAAAGACAGTGGGTATTATAATGTTTTAACTTGAGAGGGGATTTTTTTTTTTTAAGGTAGAAAAAGGCAAAAAAAAATTACTGCTCCTCTCAATTAGAAAAATGGCTATGAGATCAATATTGTTGACCACAATAACGTGATACTAACATATTATATAAGTACACTATATTAACTATATGGTATATATTTTATATTGTGTACTTTGGGAATTTTTAGGCAGTACTTAATTAGGAATATTTTTTTCCAGTGGACTCTGTGTTTTGCAGGATGTTTTGTGATTCTGTGTATTTACATGTTTCTTCATTATTATAGAGTAGATTTGGGAGGTGCAACAAAGATTTTTTTGAATATTCGTGATGATTTCAACTTTGTTTTAAAAGGAAATACAAAGAAATTGAGGCTTTGGAGAGGGGGGAGAAAAGCCAGAAATAACAACCTTCACCCTGCAAACTCAAATGAAACTTGATCTAGACTTTGAAAGACCATAAAAATG